CGGTGGCGGGTGGTACTTCAGATGGAAGGGCCTCCGCTCTTCGCCGCGCGGCCAACCTTTCTGCATTCACCTTCCTGGAAAGTTTTGTCAGGCTTAACCTGGCCATGTCTTCGAGGCCTGTGGCAGAAAGATCCTCTAAGCCGTGAAAAACGCTGTCAAGTGAAAGATCCCCTCGACCCGAAGTGGATGGAGGATCGGCCGAATTCAATACCTCGTCAGACTCGGTTTCGTACTGATCTGATTCGGTAACATTAGCTACATCCTGCTCCGAATCAGACCCTTCAAAACCAACCTGCCTCAAGTTTTTGAAGTCGGACAAAATAAGAGCGATTAGAGAATCTTCACCCTCCGGAACCGGGATATTTTTTGCCGCTGAGAAGGTCGCATATGTCGGCTCGTAACGAAGCAGAACGTGGGCCGCCCTCCCTTGTTTTTGAAGACTTCGACGGCCGAAATACTTGAGCGCGACTTTGATATCCGAAAGAACGACGTCGTCAGTCGAAGACAGAACTTTCTTCAAATCGTTCCCTGCACAAGCCAAGTCGTAACATTTCAAAGAAGAGGCTTTATAACAAAAATGAACAAATAATAAAAGTGAGAAGGCAATCGGCCACCTGGCTTGCCCCTTCGTCTAGGAATAGGGTTGACGTGATCCTCCCTTTCGCCAAATTCCCAGTTACCCTGGACAACGACCATAACATCATCAACTCATTTCCCAGAACTGGAAAGCATAGTAATTAGCTGATGGTCGATATCTTTGGCCCTAAGGAAGAAACGCCCATGCCGACCAGAAGACTTAGCCAAGGCATAGCAATGCCGGATGGCTGGAATGCCAAGGTTAATTCTAAGGCGACGGTTGAGCACTATAACCCCCATTATAATTCTAAAGAAATTCACATTAAATTGGGAAGGGATTAAACCCCAATGGCAAAGCACAGCCCTAAGAAACGGGTGAAGGGAAAAACGGACTCCACCCTCTGCGATTGACAAAAGAGGAAAGACAATCGTGGTTTTGTCCTCCCTCTCCATATCAAGAGTGACGTCTGCCACAAACGACAGACAGACATCATCAGGAATGGAGAAATGGAATTTAAAGCCAGCAATTCGATCTGATGAGAGAAGGTCTTTTAAATGTTTCGCCATACCCTACAGTTTATAAGGATATGCCAAGGTTTGCCAAGGAAGGAGAGAACTTACAAAGGACAAAGAGGATGTCGGGGAAGAGAGTTACAGGACGATTTGAAAGGCAATCCAGCGATGAGCGTCATAAAATACATACTCGAAAGGATGTCAAAGTTTTAAATCGCAATAAATAGATACGTACAAGGGGGTGAGAAGGCGACACGACAGCCGAAAGGGGTGCACTTAGATATCCGCATGAGGATGAGGCCAACCGCCGAGTTTTGGCTCTGACTTTTCGAAATTCGGAACCAAGTACTCCAGCCAACTGTCGTTGGTAAAGTGCTAAGGGGGCAATTGTGGGAGCCGAATAAATAGAAGAGTCGGAAGGTGCGTACCCCAGAAATCAGGTATTATTCAGCTCCATATTACGTGACTAGGATGCCGAATATGTTAGTAAGGCCGAATAGCCGGAGATCAGTAGCTCCGAATAAATAAACGGGGAATGGGATAAAAGTAGGCTCAGGCCCCAAGGCCTAAAAAGCAAGTATAAATACAAGAATCACAGATTTAGAAAGGTATATAACAATCACTTTTTGCTTAACTTAGAAGACAAGTTATTTTGAGTACAGGAACTGACTTGTCCGTCGGAGTGCTAATTCCGGCACCCCCTACCGGAGTGTTTGTGTCTTTTCAGGTGACTAGCTAAGGATCACTAGCGTCTCCCAGGATCTGAAGAGTATTTCCAAAAACCACTTCCCCACAATTTTTTTATACATTTTTTCAAATTTATTTTGCCTATATTGTTGTGACAATGAACTCTTAGTATTTTTTATGGTCATAAAATTGATCCGGGTGTGTCTTATTGCTTAAGAATTGATTAATTTGCTACTATATACTAGGATATTTGGAGCTCATAAACAAATTAGGGATTTTTTTTTGATGCAATCCCACTGAACAGAAACACCTGCCAACAACATACCAAATATCACCAAAACAATTGCCAACAACGTACCAAATATCACCATGCTTAGCGCCTGGTTTGGGAACATACTTTTTTAATATTTTAGTTAAAATATGATATAAAAGAAATTGGTTAAAGTATGATATAAAATATGATATTTTAGTATTTTAGTTAAAATATTTTAGTTAAAGTATGATATTTTTTTAGTTAAAATATGATATTTTTTTAATATTTTAGTTAAAATATGATATAAAATATGATATACAATATTTTAGTTAAAGTATGTTTAAGATGATTTTTTGATTTTTTATGAAAAAATGTACAAAAAATAGAGAGAAAGAGAATCTTTGGCTTTTTGGTATAGGTTGTTGATATTTTAATTTTTTTAGTGACTTTTTGATTTTTTGGCTAAAATCATCACTTGCCAAACGAGGCATTTTGTTGACATTTTGAATTATTATTATTATTATTATTATTATTTATTTTTATTTTTTTTAACTATCAAAATGCCATGAGGCTACAACGCAAAATCAAAAAGCAACAACTCCTGCAAAACAAATGGTGGGTTCCTAACCCAATCTAAGGGTAAAGAGCCTTTGAGAAAAGCCGAAGTGAGCCAATGGGCTGCACAATTAATATCATGCATGATTGCGAGACAATTCCATGGAGGGACCAACTCCGCAACATACAGCTCAATAACAACCTTGTTATCATTTTCCACCAGAACATTTGAGAGTCCAAGAGCATGAGAGAATGCACATGCCAGCCAAATTGTTTGGGCTTCACTTTTTTTGATCAGTCAAAAAAACTCTTTATTGATGATAACATAACGAAATACATCATGGTATACATCAACAAGAAGGGTAGGCAAGAGCAAAAAGCATCATTGCAAACCTCTCTAATCCCAACTAGGTTATCACCAAGGAGAATGCACAATCATTTGCTAGCTCAAGCCATAGGTTGATGAGAAACCAACCAAAGAGGAAAAAACCCAAAAAACAAAACAGCAAACCAGTGGAACAGATTTGCAGATCTTAGCAAAAATATAACAGAACTCCTCCACTGCAAAATAGCTCCAAGTGCAAAAACAGTGCAAAAACAACAGATCAGTGCAAACACAGCTCCAATACAGCAGCAGACTTCTCACTCCAATACAACAGCAGATGCAGAAAGCAGAACTCCTCCACTGCTTCACTCACACAGTAGCTCCAGTACACCTTAAGCCTATACCTACAACCACCATTTAATACAAACTACACCTAGATACACTCCATTCACATAGCAGCAGCTAGAAGATGATGGAACACAGAGATGAAGTTGCAGCCAACCAATGCAACACAGAGATGAAGTTGCAGCCAGGGGTAGAACATAATTAGCAGTAGCCAGGAGAGGTTGGAGAAGCCACCATTCAGACCAATGTAACACAGATCATAGCAGCTTCAGCAGCAGCCTTAAGCCTAAACTTATAACCTCCGTTTAATACAAACTACACCTAGATTCACTCCATTCACACAGTAGCAACCAGAAGAGGATGGAGAAGCCACCATTCAGTCCAGTGAAAAATAGTATGACACCTACACAACAAACTAGTGCCAAAAGCAGCTCCAAATCAATGATACTCCTACTGCAGCATCATATATCAGCAGCATACAGCAGCACAAGAACAACATTACCTCATTCCATTATGTAGTCCTAAAATACATAGACACAGAGGCAGAGTAGCAAAGAGATAGAGGAGCACAGAATAGATTAGCTATGCAGCATAGGACAGATCACCCAACTCAATAACATACCTGCTTCAAATTAGATACAATGTCATGCACTGAGTACTGCATTTCTTTCAAATTTGATTTTGGCCATAAAGCAACTCTAGGCTTCATTTTGTTAGGCTGAGGTCGAGAATGTTAAAGAGACAACTCCATCAATGAGCTTTCCTTCCTAATTCCATAGAATAACAGCCAACACAGATTTTCTCCATCGATGAGATTTGCTACTTTTGGTTGGCAATCTTAATTCATGGTGTATTTGATTAATAATTTGGCAATTCCTTATCACTTTTTATAGATATGTTATTTTCTTATATTAAGGGATCCACAATCCTAATTCAAATCTTGACTCAAATTTAAATTTGAGTAAAAAAACATACAATACTCTTTTTCACTTCTTGACTAGATGTTTGCAAAATCAAGTTTGATCTCATTTATAAATTAAGGAAAAATTATTTCTTGCTTTGGAGCAATGCTTCATGTTAATTACCAAAGCATACCCTTTTTATATTGGCCAAAACACAATTCACCTAGTGAAAAGTTGAGTTTGTAACAATTCAAAAGTTAACATATACGATATCATGTCATCATGAATCTATTTGTTATAAGAGATAGAGAGAGAGAGAGAGAGAGCGAGAGAGAGAGAGAGAGACAGAGAGCGATAGAGAGAGAGAGAGAATATAACTTTGTATATTTCAATGAATAAATAATGAATGAATGCAAGACTCCTTTATATAGGAGAAGGAGAAGCTAATATGGTAATGTATAATATAGTAAGTAATGCATAATATAGTAACATGGTAAAACACAATATGGTATGGTGCACAATATGGCAATATAGATATATATAGCTAACACCCCTCCTCAAGCTCAAGGTGGCAATGCAGATATCAATTTGAGCTTGGAAAGTAAATCAGAAAAGCGTCCTAAAGGATGAGCCTTGGTGAAGATGTCAATTGTCTGATCAGCAGAGGTAACAAAGATAAGGCGAACAGTGCACTAGTAACATGTTGCCGTATAAAGTGACAATCAATCTCAATATGATTGTTGTGATCATGAAAGACATCATTATGTGCAATCTGAATAGCACTCTGATTGCTACAACAGAGGGTAGTGGCAACAGGATAAGAAACGCCCATATCAGAAAGAAGCTAACGAAGCCACACAAGCTCTTGAGTAGTGTCAGCAAGAGCACGATACTCAACCTCAGTACTAGAACGAGCAATAAAAGTTTGCTTCTTGCTACACTAGGCAATAAGAGAGTCACCTAAGAAGAAGCAGAACCTTGTAGTAGAACGGCGGTCAATAGGATCCCCTGTCCAATCTGCATAAGAAAAGGCGTGTAGTTGTAGAGAAGAGTGTGCTGAGTAGTGAAGATCATGAAACAAAGTGCCTTTGAGATAGTGCAAAATGCGAACCAGTGCATCATAGTGTGGAGAACGAGGAGCAGCCATAAACTGACTGACAATATGAACAGCAAGGGCAATGTCTAGACAAGTAGCCATGCGATAGACAAGACTGCCAACTAGTTGACAATATAAAGTACCATCATATAATAGATGACCATCAAGAGGTGTGAAACGAGTCTAAGAATCAACTGGAGTAGGCACAATCTTGCAATTAGTAAGACCAGCACGAGCTAAGAGATTAAATGTATACTTGGCCTGAGGGAGAAAGTAACTAGAAGGATCTTGAGAAATTTCCAAGCCGAGGAAGTAGCTAAGTAGACCCAAATCTTTCATCTCAAACTGGCAACTGAGGAACTATTAGAGACTAGGGATACCCATTGTGTCATCCCTAGTGATGATCATATCATTCACATAGAGAAAAAGAATAATAATAATAATAATACCACGCTCTATTTTGCGAATAAACAGAGCATAATCATGGGCATTGGAGGAGAAGCCAAAGTCACGAATGGTAGAACTAAACTTAGCAAACCAAGCACGATGAGCTTGTTTCAAACCATACAAAGCACGACAAAGTTTGCAAACTTTGGTGGATGGAACTAAGGAATCAGAAGGAGGCTGCATATAAACTTCCTTAGTGAGATCACCATTGAGAAAAGCGTTCTTGACATTTATCTAACAAAGACTCTAATGGCGAGTAGCAGCAATGACAAGGAGGCTGAGAACTAAAGTAAGACAAGCAACATGGGCAAATGTTTCTTCATAATCAATCCCATATTCTTGAGTAAAACCCCGGGCAACAAGTCGAGCTTTGTAACGCTTAATAGAACCATCAAAATGGGTTTTGATCTTGTAAACCCATTTGCAACTAACAACACTCTTACCCTTTCCAGGTGGAAGGTTAACTGAATCCCAAGTATGAGTTTTATCAAAAGCTTACAGTTCATCAGTCATAGCTTGCTGTTAAAGAGGGTTAAAGCAAGTCTCTTGATAGGAAGTAAGTTCATGAGAAGAAAAAGCAGTAGAACCAACAATGAAATCACGAAGAATGACAAAATGTTGTGTTACCTGAGTAGAATAACGAAGAGGTGCCTTTGTTGGAAAAGATGATGGAGTAGGATCAAGGGATGCATGAGGCTCATTGTGAGAAGGAATGAAGACAAGAGCAAGAGTAGGAGCAGGAACTGGAGCAGAAGCAAGAGCAGGAATAGAAGCATGAGCAAGAGCAAGCTCAGGATCAGAGAGTGGAGTAGCAGGACCTAGAGGCGAAGTAGAATCCTCAGGATGGGTCGTTGTCATTATGTTAGAAGTAGGATCTGTATCAAGCTCATCAAACAGAAGAGAAGGATCTGTAAAGAATGGTATAGTACAAGGAATGGACAAATGAAAGTTAGACAGAAAAGAGAACATCTTGTGTTCCCAAAATACCACATGACGAGGGATACAGAGAGGATGAGAAAGACGATCCCAACAACGATAACCTTTATGTTCAATCCCATACCCCAAGAAACAACACAAACAGGCGTGAGGTTCTAATTTGGTATGCTTATAGGGGTGAAGAAGAACAAAACAAGCACATCCAAACACACGAAGACTAGTATAGACAGGAGGTGTGCCATTGTAGACATCCCATTTTTGACGGCCCTTACGACTTGGACGTCCTCGCATGCATACCCGATGATGAGTCTATATGCATGTCAAGTGCTCGTAGTCCTCAGCGGAATGCCACAACTTTGAGCCCTTCAAACCCTACACCCTTCTCACCTCATTCTTGGACCAAGCCTTAGTTCTTCAACCCTACACCCTACACCATTTTGGGTTGTTGGCCATCACTTTTTGGTTTCCAGCCACTGGTGTGGCCTACCGGCCACCAATTTCTTTTGCAGATATTTTGTGACAACCATGCCAGCTGTTTGCACATATGCATGCATCTACCCCCACGTGTAGGGCTGGATATTCTTGAGGAGAATTCATGTTTTCTATATATACGAGGCCTCCCTCTCATGTTTTAAGGTTAGAACAATTTTAAAACAAAATTTTTCCTCTCTCTACAATTCTCTCTTTCTCTAGCAAATTCCTACACTTTTGCTTACAAATCTTCAACCTTTGCCTATACACCTTTAACCAAACCTCTTCATATTTGAGCTGAGGTCCCTTTGAGCTTTGTTTGAGCTCTAGAAGGTGTTGTTTGCCTTGTTTTAGTGCTTGGAAGTGTTTTTCTCTTCAAAGGTATAAAGCTTTGTTTCTTTACTAGCTTTGTCTACTCTTTTTTTTTTTTTTTTTTGCAATTTTCTAACTATTTTTGGGCTATAAAAACTCTATATTTTTGGGCTGAAACTTGGGTTCTAAGGCCATTAAAGGTTGAGGGGTGGTTTACCCCTCTTTACACCCTGTTTTGAAGGTCTTTGCCCTTGCGTTTTCCACCATTTTACTATCTTTTTTTGAACTTTTAAACTCTGATTTTCAGAGTTTTTTTAGTGCCCAAAATCATGTTTTGAAGCCCAAATTTGGAGGGGTTAGCCTCCCCTCCTTGTTTCTTGCTTACTAGCCTAGCTTGTACTTGTTTTAGCCTATTATTCTAGCTTTTGTTAGCTTAATTCCAACATGTTTTAGGACTATTTTAGACCTGTTTTAGCACTATTTTTGGTTGATAGTTGCATATGAGCTTTGTTTTGTATGCTTGTAGTATAATTATCCTCATGAGTTTGATGTTCTAGACCTTAAACACCATCTTATTTGAGTTAATAGCATTTATTCATGTTTTTCTCACTTATTTTCAGCACTAATAATCTCTGCAGTCTCCCTCATTTTTTGGCTTTTGTTTTTCTTTGCGAGTTATTTCAGGTCTCTTGTTCTTTTAAGCATAAGATTGAGGTTGTCATGCTTAATGATTTAATCCTTTTTGGAGGTTCATTACCAATAGTATGATGTCTCTTTCATGCCTAAAACAACTTTTTGTTTGAGCCTTCTTTCCATTTAGAGGACTTAAATTCATTATTGGACTTAATGGATTAAAGGATGGATGGTAATCTAAAATGGAGTAATTAAAATGGAACTAAAATGGTGCAAGATAATAATTGGTTGTGTGTAAGCTCGAAGCATTTCATACTCATTAGTGATGAAATGATTCAAGTTTCCAAGGCCACCACTTCCCTTGATCAATTCACGAAAAGGAAGAGATTAGAGCCATATTTTGTTGCATTTATTGAACTTGCACATTTTGGTTCATAGACCATCATGTAATAAAATTGCTTGAGTTGGTGGTTTATAGCTTAAGTTTACTTCTTCTTTGATTTGTTCATGAAAAGGAGGGGTGAGTTATGCAAACAAACCCTTGAGAATACCCTGTACATACTCTGTTTGTCCTCTGTTGCAGTAAGGTGAACTGGGCAGCAGTGACCGGCAAGCCACTTTCTATGGCCGGCAAGCCACCTTTGATGGCCGACCGGCCACTAATGCAAAATTCAACGGTGTGTTCTTTAAGCAAAACAGAGTTATTCTGAAAATGGGCAATAGTGTATGTGTTCTCTGTGCAACAGAGGCTCTCCAGAAGCAAAACAATGGCCTTTACAGGAGGAAACCGAGCATACGCATGAACATCCTTCGTTTCCCGAGGCGGAGTAGTTAGCTTAGTACTTAATTATTTATCTTACTTACTTCTTTTAATTGCACTTTGTGTTGTAATTATTTAATTAGTTAAAGTAGTTAGCTAGTTGTGATGTTGTAATCGTTTAATTCATATATTGTTGTAATAATTAGTTAAAGTAGCTTAGCTAGTTTATTCATTTTGGTTTGTAATAATTGGCTTAGCTTTAATTAGTTAGCTAGTTAGTTTATTCAGACTCTTCTTCGTGAGAGTGCAATGATGTAATAATGTGTATGTCTTCTAACCCCACGTCTTTCTCCCTTTTATTTACTAGTTTATGATGGTTAGTTTAGGGATATCACGTTTTGTTTAGCATTCTTCATACTTGCATCCATTTGTATTGCATGCACCGAGCCTTGGTTCATTATTCTAATTGCATTGTTAATTTAGTACTTCTTTGAATACGTGCTTAGATGGCATGTTATCAAATTGCTTCATATGTTATATTAGTAGCCAAGCCTAGTAATTACATATCGCATGTGTTGCATTAGTCATATTACATAATTAGGAATCATGCATCTTTCTAACTTTGTCATCTTATTGGCTTGGAGTACTAGGTGAGCCTTTACTCGCTTTAGCATATCGCATGTATGTGATTGTTACCATGTTTAGCATGCTTGCCATTAAAATAATTGTGTAACTACTATAAACTGCTTAAATGCCTATGGATGAAAGCTAATTGCTTGAATTGGAATAATTTGAGTAATGTTTATATGCGATCACTTTTTCAAGTGGTACATATTTCGAAACAACTTTCAAAACAAACATGAACCAAATGTTCCAATTCTTGCAAGTTAGTCTATACTTGTGTGTGTGCGCATCACAAAGTAATGCTAGCCTAATAAACTGGAACAAGATCATATAATGTAAATAAGATTCATATCATGATTAGTGGAGGCCGATATTTGATCGAGCGAGCAGGGGTGCTCAAATTCATTCATGGCCTTCCCTTCTCGTACCCAAGTTCTTAAGTTGAGACAATCTTGGTGGTGATGGACACGTGGCCTTTGGCATGAGTCATGGATTTCCTAAATTATCCCAAAAAATATTTAGGTGGCGACTCTGTTTCTGGAAAAACAGTCCAATTTTGGCATTTTTTATTCAAAATCAATTTTTCAAAAAGATTTGTCAGATTGGGACTCTTTGGTGATTATCTATTTCACATTGCACTAGTGGAATCAGATTCAGAACCGCGGGAGTCCGATACTATAGGGCATACATTCAACTCCTGAGAGGGGGTGCGAAAAAGTCGAGCTATAGTTTCTGGCGACTCTGCTGGGAAATTTAGAGAACTTGACTCAAAATTCATGATATGAAATTTTATTTACACTTATATGTCTCTTTGCATTTGCATTTGCATTTGCATTGGTGTGTTTAAGTCACTGTGTTTGCCATCTGCTATTCCTGAACGGTTTGTCGGAAGCTTGCCTGAAAAGCTTGCCAAAAGGCT